ACTTTCTAAACAATGGCACAACGGAATGCAGTGTACTTTCTAACCAATGGCACCGCAGAATGCAGTGTACTTTCTAACCAATGTCATCACAGATTGCAATGTACTTTCTAACCAATGGCAGCGCAGAATGCAGTGTACTTTCTAACCAATGTCATCACAGATTGCAATGTACTTTGTGACCAATGGCATCACAGAATTCAGTGTACTTTCTAACCAATGGCACAACGGAATGCAGTGTACTTTCTTACCTATGGCATCACAGAATTCAGTGTACATTCTAACCAATGGCACAACGGAATGCAGTGTACTTTCTAACCAATGTCATCACAGATTGCAATGTACTTTCTGACCAATGGCATCACAGAATTCAGCGTACTTTCTAACCAATGGCACAACGGAATGCAGTGTACTTTCTAACCAATGGCACAACGGAATGCAGTGTACTTTCTAACCAATGGCATCACAAATTGCAGTGTACTTTCTAACCAATAGCAACACAGAATGCAGTGTACTTTCTAACCAATGGCATCACAGAATGCAGTGTACTTTCTAACCAATGTCATCACAGATTGCAATGTACTTTCTGACCAATGGCATCACAGAATTCAGTGTACTTTCTAACCAATGGCACAACGGAATGCAGTGTACTTTCTTACCAATGGCATCACAGATTGCAGTGTACTTTCTAACCAATTGCATCACAGAATGCAGTGCACTTTCTAATGAATGGCATCACAAATTGCAGTGTACTTTCTAACTAATGGCATCACAGAATGCAGTGTACTCTCTAACCAATGACATCACAGAATGCAGTGTACTTTCTAATGAATGGCATCACAAATTGCAGTGTACTTTCTAACCAATGGCATCACAGAATGCAGTGTACTATCTAACCAATGGCATCACAGAATGCAGTGTACTTTCTAACCAATGGCATCACAGAATGCAGTGTACTTTCTAACCAATGGCACAACGGAATGCAGTGTACTTTCTTACCAATGGCATCACAGAATGCAGTGTACTTTCTAACCAATGGCATCACAGAATGCAGTGTACTTTCTAACCAATGTCATCACAGATTGCAATGTACTTCCTGACCAATGACATCACAGAATTCAGTGTACTTTCTAACCAATGGCACAACGGAATGCAGTGTACTTTCTTACCAATGGCACCACAGATTGCAGTGTACTTTCTAACCAATGGCATCACAGAATGCAGTGTACTTTCTAATGAATGGCATCACAAATTGCAGTGTACTTTCTAATGAATGGCATCACAGATTGCAGTGTACTTTCTAATGAATATCATCACAGATTGCAGTGTACTTTCTAACCAATGGCACCACAGAATGCAGTGTACTTTCTAACCAATGGCATCACAGATTGCAGTGTACTTTCTGACCAATGGCATCACAGAATTCATGTACTTTCTAACCAATGGCACAACGGAATGCAGTGTACTTTCTTACCAATGGCATCACAGAATTCTGTGTACATTCTACCAATGGCACACGGAATGCAGTGTACTTTCTAACCAATGGCACA